ACTTTTGACAAGTAGGCACGTGGCATTTAAAGCATTATAATTTGCTGTATAGTGAAGAGCTGTCCACCCATTTTCATTTTTTTCATTGATATTTGCACCATGCGAAAGAAGAAGTTGAACAATATCAATAAGATCTCCCCATGCTGCAAAATGGAGAGCAGTATTTCCTTTGAATCCAATTGCATGTTGATTGATGTTTGGATGTTTTGATAAGAAATATTGACAAAGAGGTAAATAATGGAAACATGTTGAATACGGAAAACATGCATTGAGATTTTTTGTTTCATTATAATACATGCAGTATGCTTGAACATTTTCATGTCCGATACAAGATTCTAAATGAATTTCAATGTGGTATTCATTTACTAAATGCATAATAAAGTCTGGGTTTCGTGAAATAATTGCATATTCCATACTTCGACTATCCGGTTTGAAATTCTTTAAACATTCATTAATTATCTCTATATTTCCACCTAAATAAGAAAATGCAAGACAATAACTGGTGATGTTTTCTGATTGAATTCTGTTCTCAAAAATTTGAAACAATTAACCGCACCATGATAACAACATAACTCAAGATATGAATACCCACCTTCATTCTCTGGGTAAAAATCGCTTTTAAGCTTATGGTTATTATTAAATTCTTCTTCTTGTGTGCGAGAAATAAATAATCGTATGTCATCATCCATAATTGCACGATAAATTGTATGTGGTTTATGAATATCAAATGAAATATTTTGTTTTTCATATTCAATAAATTTTATTGGATGTTGTCCACTTAAAGTAAACTTGTATTCCTTGTAAAAAAAGTAATCAAAAATATCTGAAATATGCGTAACTCTTTTGGGACGATATTCTTGATAAATTTTAATGAACAATGACCAACAAGATCTAATGTAACGATTTTGATAGACAAACTCATCAGAAATCCTTTGCATGATCTCAACTGGCGAAATTCTCAGTATTCCAAAGCATCGTACTTTGATAAATTCGAAAATTTTGTTGATTTCATCATCATCAAGTGTTTGAATCTTGTATATTGCATCGTAAGCAGCAAATAAATCATTTGAAATCTCCTTCAGCTCTCTAGATGCATGCTGGTCATCCTGAGATTCCATATTCAACAATTATGACAATTTTTGAAGAAAAAATAAAATTGAATTAGAAATCCCATTCATTATTCAATTATTTTTGAAAGTGTTTCCAAAATCTTTGAGAATAATTACATAATAAAATTAAACCGATCATCCTTATCAAAGAGATGATCTATTAAATAAAAAAATAAAATTGAATTAGAAATCCCATTCATTATTCAATTATTTTTGAAAGTGTTTCCAAAATCTTTGAGAATAATTACATAATAAAATTAAACCGATCATCCTTATCAAAGAGATGATATCATATTAAATAAAAAATAAAATTGAATTAAAAATCCCATTCATTATTCAATTATTTTTGAAAGTACTTACAAAATCTTTGAGAATAATTACATAATAAAACAATGCCAATCATTTTTCTTAAAGAGCATTCTGAAGTTTCCATTATGAGATAAAAAATGTAAATAGCTCCTTACATGGAAGGAATACATGAAGGGTTACATTTTGCTTAGATCAAGATCACAAATAATTAATAATAATTTTTATTTTCAAAAAGGTACTTTTGATCGGCCAAAAATTAAAACGAATATATTTACAGTTTTTTCAATGAGCCGCCTCAAAAATTGAATTACATCCAATTTAATTGAGGCTAAAAATTGAAAATTCTAAAAGTATTTCATCATATGACGGAAATAAAATAAAAATATTTACATATTTAGTCATACTATTTAGAAAGCATCGCAATATAATACAAATAAAATGAAGATTGAAAAAAAAATTATATCTTATGATGACCTTTTTGGGGAGTAACTTTTTCAGTGAATCGTTGAACGCCATTCATTCTCATATCATGTCCTCTCAACATCCAATATATTGTACTTTTTATTGCCATAAATACTTCATTCATTGGATATAGATACTTAAAGATAATCGAATCAAAATGCGATATGTAAATGATATATTAAGGATGTATCAATCTACTCAATGTGTAATTTCTAAAATCAACGCATAAATAATGCAAAAACATGATATTTCAATATAAAAATCATATTTTGAGTTTTGTTTTATTTGACTTCGAGATATTTTCACAGACAAAATATTTAGAAGTCATGTTTAATGAAAAATAAGAACAATTTAGTTTATATTGCCAATTAAAACACTGGAATCAGAAGTAAATTGACAAATATTTGTATATTACTTCATTCTCAACACATATACTCACTTCGTTTGATCTTTTCAACAATTTATAGATAAATCACAGATAGCAAAAAACTGTTCTTTGAAATTATAATGAAAAATACAATTTATATTAAATAAAATATGTTGTGCATGAAAATTCGGTTCACTTCACTTCTGACAAAAGTGACAAGTTTACATGGCAAAAATATATAGGGTATTTTTTTAAAAGTAGTTATCTTTATATATAAAAATAAAACTTTTGATATATTTGAGTAAATGATTTAATTTATTTATTTATTTTTTTTAAATCAAATCATATAAATATATATATATATATAATAGTGAAATAGAACAAGAAATAATTATTGATGATTAAATTGTAGACGAGGATATAAGTTTAGATAAATTAATAAAATTAGTGTGGAATCAGACAAATTTCGGGTTGTTTGGGAAGGAATTGTTGGCTATGATGTACTGATTCATGATCAGTACATCATAGCCAACAATTCCTTATACAAAGTTCAAAAACTTGGGTGCAATCAGAACTGATTGCACCCAAGTTTTTGAACTTTCTCGAGGGAATGAAAGGGTAAGAGGTATACATTATGAATATATACCTCTTACCCTTCCATTCCCTCTCTGACAGCGGGAAACTTTGTCTGAATGTTAAACTATTCAGACAAAGTTTCCCGCTGTTTGCGAAGGAATTGTTGGCTATGATGTACTGATTCATGATCAGTACATCATAGCCAACAATTCCTTATACAAAGTTCAAAAACTTGGGTGCAATCAGAACTGATTGCACCCAAGTTTTTGAACTTTCCATTAACAATTGTTCAATCACATTTATACAACCCAAATCTATACCAATCATACTCTTATTCATACATCATATTTTAAAAACTTTTTTGCAATATGATGTTATTGCAACAATTTTTTTTCTTTTCTACTTCCAATTAGCACCTTAAAAACATTAGACACAATCACTGGCTCATATGCTCCTATTCTGAATCTAACACTATGCAAATTTATACAATTTCTCCACAAATCTTACATTCATTTTAATTTCAACGACCATTATTACCACAAAGAATCTTACCTTCCCCTACAAAATCTAACTATCTATCAATTTAAAAAATGTTACAAAATATTAAATGAATTTTTTTCTATACGTAATTTAAAGTTCTTAAACTCTCAGCATCAGAATATCCTTACATAGCTTAGCTATATATCGTATTACTTTATGAATAAAAAAATTATTTAAATTATAATAAAATGTTTATTCGTATTTTTACTTTATTTTTAGTTACGAGGCTGTATTTCGAACTCAGGATTTGAGTTTAAGTCCTTTGTCCATTTAGGACCCTGGTCCCAAATTGATTTTGGAGTAGGTTTTCCACCGAAAAGATCTTTAAGAGCTGTATGAACCCATACTGTGTTGTATTCTTCTATTGCGTGAGGTAAAAATTCTCTTATTTCGATAAAATCTGGGCGAGCCGAAAAGATTGTTTGCCAAAACCGTTCTATTTTACCATTTAACTGTGGTGTGTAAGGTTCTGTCCGATGGTGTTGAATGCCATTTACTTAAAGAACGTTTTTAAAGTCCTTTCCTGTAAATTCGCATCCATTATCTGTCAAAAGTTCGTATGGAATAATTTTGATAGAGTCGATAGCATTTTGTAAAGCTTTTGAAGTTGATTTCATTGTTTTATCAGGAAGAATTTCGTAATAAATACAAAAACGAGATCTGTCATCGATAAAGGCAATTAAATGATAAGTATGCTTGGTACCATTTGTCTCTTCTTTGAAGCTTTTTAAATCAGTATGCCATTGCTGATTTACGTATTGGGAAACATACTGATTTGGATGTTCATCAATTTTTTCTGGATCTCGCCGAAATTTGAAAAGATTCTCTTTTTCGTATAATTTAAGCATATCGTGAAATGAAACTGTGTCATCATGTATGTAACTCTCTAAAACTTTTTTATAACCTAGATTGTACTTAGCTTTTATTTCGTGAATGGTTGGTAACAAATCTGTTCTAAGAGGAGTTTCTGGTCTTCCGAGCTTTTTTGGATTTAAACCAAGTTCTTGCCATTTTAATAATAATTTTTTTCTACCTATGTGCAAATCTTTTGCAACTTGGTCTGCTGTCTTTTTGCCAATAGAATATTCAAGATATGCCGTAATATAAATCTGATTTTCATTTGGCAGATCCACTTCTTGTCTTTCCATTTTTTTTGAATCGATTTATACAAATAAACTTATAAAACACAAAATTATTATTTTATAATATAATTCTTAGATAATACATCCGATATGTAAAGTGTCAAAAATGAATTGAACCGAATTTTCATGCATTACAATATTAAATAAAATAAAAAAGATAATAAATATAAAATACAATTATTGTATTGAATGCATATGTTTTCGATAGTAAATCTCCAGTGAAATTACAATGAAATGATTCGCTACATTCAATAAAATAGATTACTCTATTTCAGAATTCTGCATTTGTCACTTTTGACTGTAATTTTCCAATTTTCTATAACAATGAAATTTATCTGTTATCATTAATCATATTTTCTGAATTTGAACTTTTCAATAATTTATAGATAAATCACAGATAACAAAAACCATTCTTTGTAATTATAATGAAAAATACAATTTATATGAAATAAAATAAAAAAGATATACATGAAATATAAATAAATATAATAATATCTAAACAAATAAAGAAAAAGCAGAAAATGGGATGATATTCAACGCCCCATGAGCGCTGAAAGTGTAAAAACTCTTGTTAGAAAGCCAAATGCAGCACGATTGGATGCAAATATCATTCTGGAAATTGAATATTCGGCATTCAATCTCTGATTTATTGATGTTGAATGGGAAATATGCCAATGAATTGTTTCCGAATGCACCAAAAACATCACCATCGAAAATGACTTTATTAAGATTGTGTTTCGGTGGTAATAAGATTCGAAACAGAACATTCCCACAGCAGTCAAACAGAACAAATGATGTTGAGAACAAAACACCTGTCAACAAATTCTTCGAACAGTTGATAGAAATAGGATTTTCTTCAAGTTGGATTGAATGTCGAACAATCATTTTGCAGTCCAAATAAACTAGCAAATTTGATTTAGAACAGACTCGCATCGATCCTGTTTCTTCTTCTAAAACAAAGATGTGAGTGTCGTGTGGCAAGATAGGATCAATCTTCTTCGTTTTGTTGTTATAGAAAATGAATGCAGATTTGTTTGTAGTTCCATAAACTGCGTATTCATTAACATGATAACTATCGGGAACAAAATCCAAACTGACAAATCCTTTCTTGTCTGGGATAACGAAAACGCTTTCGTTGTTCCTGTCATTGATCTTGTAATCGATATCGCCATTTTCAACATTGATCTTGATTTGGATGTTTTGTTTCATCGTAATACAGTTGATTTTCACTGATGAGTGACTAATAGAACAAATAGTTGATGCGATGAGATGTGATATATTTGTCTGGAAATTAAACGCTTTCGTGTTTTCATTGACTTTCTTGATGTCATGTTTGATGAAAAACAACTGTGGCAAATTTTTAACGCATTGATTAACACCGAAAACTAAATCAATACATTCGTTCAATCGCTTAGAAACATAATCACTTTCAAGGATAAGTTTGTTGATGAAAACATAAAGATTTGGATCGTTCTTACAATAGTTAGGAAGTTGTAAATTTTTACAAAATGCCACAGCCAAAGAAAGGGGGAGAAAACTCTAAAACAGGGGAGTTTAGAGCTGATTCGAAATCTTCAAAATCTGGACAAAAAACACTAAAATCTTTGTTCTCGTAAAAACTTGCTTCTGAAGCAGAACTTTCGTCTAAACTGAGTCTGATATTTTCCGATGACATGGAAATATCTGAATTTGAATTGGCGGTTATTAACGGTTGTGTAAACCTCAGAAAAGGTAACCATTTTTCTGTCATTACAGAAACAGGAGGATCTGTATTAAAATCTCTCATTGCGATCTTAGAAGAAGGGTTTGTCAATCTCGGTAACAAAGGATATTTAATGTAGTCATTAAAACTCCTTCCTGCAATGAAATTAAGCAGCATCAAATACTCATAATTTGAGATTTCGTTGTTCAACCATTTCGCTGTCAGATTTGAGTTTTCTGACATTGCATTTCCAATGTTTTTGTACAGATGGATGTACTGGCAGTTTTTGGCATTTGGAAATTCCTTTGATGATTAATGATGATTTGTGAGGTGAAAAATCAAGTAAAAAAGTATCACCTGTTGTCAAAATTATTTCGACACCTGTTTCTGCTTTAAAACAATGGCTGAATACGTATTTGATCTTTGCTGTCTCGTATTCACGTGTTTTGTTCTTAGATGTCAAAATAAAACGATTGTTAAACAATACAAAAATGACATTATATGTTTGATTGATTTTGTATCGTTTGCATTTCGTTTTTATGAGATTTTCAGTTTGATCATTAAACGTGAATGAGAAATTGTATTTAGGAGCTTTCGGCCACCATTTCGTATCATTCTGCATGAAGTTATTGATTGTTAAATCAATCCTTTCGAAGTTTTTATCGGAGTAATCTTTCCAAATCGAAATTTCATTGACTGTTTTTCTCAAAAACTTCCAAACTTTCAATTCTGTCTTGAGTTTCTCTGATTTGTCACTCAAACAATATTCATGCAATTTCAGATACGAAACAGTCGAAATATTTTTGACGGTTTGAGCGGTTTCACTTTGAAAACATGTATTTATATAAGAATACATTTTTGAAATGATTTCGTAGACTCTTCTTGGATAAGAATTGATCATTGTATTGACGAAGAATCCAAAACTAGACATCAATGATTTCATTTCATTATTTCTGTCCAAAATTTGTTGGTTATAATTCTTCAAAAAGAATTCACAAAGTTTTTTGATTGTTTGCAATGTCGTAGTTTTGTTTTCTTCTGGAATTGTTTGTAAAACATAAACAATTGCACTTGCCAATGAAGAATACAATATAGAATGACCATTATCACATAAATCAACACAAAAAACTAATCTCGGTAAATTTGTGGCTTTCTTCAAAAGTGACAAAAGTGAACTGATGTCCGTTATAAAGAATTCAACTTTGTTTTGTCTGAAAATCGTTTCGTTTTTGAAAGGTGACTCCAAAAACGATAATTTCAAAGCGGTGTTTACAAAACCGTTTTGACAAAATTGGAAAAACAAAAATTTTGCGCATCTATGTACTAATTCTATCTTTTCTTCAAGTTTCCAATCAACGATTTCGACATTACATAATAAATGCAAAAATCTAAATGTAAAAATTGACATATCACTTTTTTCTAATTGAACAACATCAAGAAACGCAATTATTTCATCCAATAATTCAACATTCGGACTTTGTATATAAATTAAATGAAGTAAAATGACTGCTTCAACTTGTTTTTCTTCTGGAATTCTCATTGCTAAAATGATTGGCCAAATATACCAATAAGGGCAATTAATTACCCTTAAACAGAAATTATGATCTTTCGACATATCCTTGAGAATAGAAACTGTCTTGACGCATTCATCCACGTTATTTATAACGTGTGCAATATAACAAATTACAGGGAAAGTATAAGAATATTCATCAGGCATTGCTCTGAGCTGTAACAACATTTCTAAAGTGCAATTCTTTAGAAACATGATAAATCAATCTCCTTGATATTTCGCCTTTCATTTTCGGAAGAAATTGCAACATTGATCTGACAACTGCGCAAAACAACATTGGTATTGGTTTGTTCAACAAACTAAACAAAAATTCGGATATATTAACGGAATCCTTATGCTTAGAAAACATCGGCAACAATTGTAATAAATCAATTTGTTGTTCAATATCAGGAAGTGAAGTGATGTGACTAATTAAAAATTCCAAATCTTCTTTTGTCCATAATTGTTGTGGATAATTAGACAAAAGTTTAAACAAAGACATTCTTATGTTTCTTACATTAATATCCGGGTTTCTTAATCTTTCTGGTTTTGTTCCTAAAATGAAATCTTTTTCGATTGGATGATACCATAAATAAACTCTCATTATATTCAAAATATCTTTGAATGTCAAAACAGTCCATAATTCGTTATCATCTTCACATAAATTCTGGTACCAATGATCAACAATTTTCTGCAAGTTTTTGTTGGAACAAACATCCATAATTCGAGATTTAACAATATTTCTTTCATTAAACTTCTGCGGCAAGAAACATCCGAAATTTCTGATAATAAATAAGTAAATCTCAAATATATATCGTAATTCAATGTTTTCACGTGTTTCTTCATCAAATATGAAACAATTTGATATTTGCCACTTGACAAACCGCCACAACGTTTTATCAAATCAATAACTGATTCAATATAATTAGAGCTCAAATTATCCAACATGAAAAATGGAATAATAGTCTTTGTGAACTTGTAATTACTTGAAAGATCATAAATAGGACGAAAATAATCATTGATTTTCGTTGGAAGTTTGGGTAATCGATCCGTCACGTTTTCTATCGTTCCATGATTCATCAAATTAATTATTTCTGATTGGTTCAAGACGGAAAAGTACAAATGGCATTCAGCTAATATACAAATGACGCTTTTTGTGTATTTAGGAGCATCAGAATTGCAATAACCACCAATTTGCACGAAAAAGTTTTGAGTTTTGAAATTTGGATCTTTGATAATTGTCAAAATTGGTTGTTCTCCATTTATATACAACAATAAATGAGAAGTATTGTCATCCTTTGGCGAATAACAGAAAGTAACAAATACCCATTCTGATGGCGGCACATTCATAGAAAGAGTTACAGAAGTAGGAACTAAATTTGGTCCACAAATTTGTGCGATCAAAGAATTTCCTTTCAAATATAAAATAATTGATGAAGAACTGTCATCCGCCAAAGAAAATATCAATGGTTGTATATTCAAGGAGAATCTGATCGAGAAATCAATGTTAATCCAAAAACAAAATGAAAAACCGTTCTTGATTTCTTCAGTTTTGAAATCTAAGAATTGTTTGTATTCCGACGGTTTTTGGAATAAAATTGTTGGATTATGATTGTGACAACATTGTGCCAACGCGATGTTTAAGTAATTAATAGGTAAAGAGTCGATTTCGCAGTTTGGCTTTGGAATGCTTAAACTCAAATATTGATAGCAAACTTGTTTTGAACTAATTGATTGACACATATAATTTAAAATTGTAAAAAATTTTCAATGTCACTTTTCAAAATATTATTTTGAAAATTGAAACCTCTAAATTCGAAATCATTTGGGAACGATTTTATTGCTTTGATTATCAATAAATCAAGTTCACCTTTGTGGCATTGTATTATATTTGTATTAGAGAATTTGCATAAATCACCAAAGAATAAAATTGATTTTGTTCCCATGACAGAAATAAACAACAACAAAATTATTTCATTTTGTAAAATAAACATTGAATCTTTTCCTTATATATAGATTTGTTGTTTGCCATCAAAGATATCATGAATGATATTGTTTGGTCTGATGCTCCATTTGGTTCTGCTTTCTTCATACTTGTAGAAAACAATGATCTGTTTTCAATTGTTATAACTTTTCCTGTGTGTTTAACTTGTGTCAATGCAACAAAACTCAAAACAACACAAAGGATTTCACGTGTTGGACTAAAAAAGAATAAGTTAAGAATGGGTTTCTCTAAGTCTATAAAGTAATCGATCAAATCAGTGAAATATGATAAATGTGAAATTAAATTGGACAAACAAATAGAAATAAAATGGTAAAAAGATGGTTGTTGGTTGTTATAATATGATAACAAATAAAAATAGAATGAATGGATGCAGGAAATGATGTTTTCGTCACGATCAGGTAAAACCATGATGTCCGTAAATGATGAAAAAACATATTGAGATGTTAATGGGTGAAAACTAAGAAGCATGAAACAAGTAACAAATGTTTGTGATGAAAAAGCTGTGAAAAGTTGTCTCTTTTTCTTCATTTCTTCAATTAAAAAAATTAAAATGGAAAACCATGCTTCGTTCTCTGTTTTCAAATGGATCAAATAACTAATAACACGAATACTTGATTCAAAGAATCGTTTGTTAACAATAAAATCAACTTGTGACTGTTCTTTTTGACCATGAAGACGAATAACGTGTTCTGCAAAAAGCAATGGATATTTTTCCGATTCAAAAATGATATGTTCAAGAAGATATGGCCATTTGTTGATGATACCTTGGAATAAACTTTGACGAATAAAGTTGACTTGTTCATTTTTGTTGGAAAAAATGGTAAAAAATGGGGATAATTGTGCAGATGAATAGATTGCATCTGAAACAACAGTAGGAATAAATTTGTTGTTCATACAAACTAATAATGAACATAAAAACATAAATAACTCGTTAGTACAACTAACATCACGTTCAACATTAAGTTTGTATGTGAATTCTGATAAGAATGTAACTGGAATTGATTCTTTTGGACAGTCAATGATAGGTTGAACAACACCAATAATACGTAACTGTTCTTCACTGAAGAATTCGTCAAGTTTAAGTTTGCTTTCGATGTCTGATGGATGGATGCATCGTAAATCTAGAGGTAAAGAGAGGATATCATCTGGTTGAAGTTGATAAGCTTCAAGTTCGTAAATTTTGTAGTTTTTAAGTTCGAAATAGGATCGGTTGGACGCAGATTTGAATAAATCATAGACTTTGTGTGAAAGTTCGATAAATGAATCGTAGATATCGTATTGGTTTGTATGAAGTGCGATTTGAAGAAATAAATCGATAGAATTGACGTTCAGGTTAAGAAAGTATGGTGTTGACATGTTGATGATATATCTAAAATCGTAGTCTGTAGTGCCTTTGATTTGATTAACTAAGTGAATCAATGTAACAACGATTTCTTCGTAGTTATCACGATCACAGAGCATAATAGATATGAATGAGATGTGGTTTTTGCTGAATTTGTTCATGTGTAAGAAAATTGTTAAAAGTTGTGTTAAAGATTTTTGAGGAATTTGTGAAAATCCTTGTTTGTAATAGTATGTAAGACACATGTGTAATGAAAGAAGTATGGATTCGTTAAATTCGACGTATAAAGAAGTAACTAAAGAGTTGAAAAGAAGGAAAAAGTCATCGACAAATGAGTCATCTATAGGGGTCAATAGCCAACCAAATGCATTACAAATAAGACCAGCGACTGAATTCATACTAACTGAGATAGATAAAAATTGAGGTGAAAAAGTAAAGAGATTTTGTGTGTTTTGAATACGTGTGATGCACTCATATATGTTGTTTACATCGTATGAAATGAGTTGAAGATTTTTCTTAGGAATATTAGGAATATAAAATTTCATGTTTTCGATTTCAAGAAAATCATATGTCTTAGTGAAGAGATGGAGAGCTGATGAGAATCTATCGGCAATAGGTTCATCCCCTTCCGTCTTCAATATTGAAGTACCGGTCGAGGATCGCCGCATTCTCAAAAAATTGAACTTTTATTTTTCATGCATCATCTTTTTATATCAAACAGTATCTCATTCATAACATATAAATTTCTTATCATATATGGTAAAAAAGATCAATCTTTTAATATCTTCATCATATTCACATGATTTTTTATTATTGCCCACAGAATAGTCATGGAAATACAATTCCAGAAATGATAATCTCATCTTATCTCTTTCTTCAGAAATTAGCAAACGTTATCGAACAAACAAAAGTGAGAATCCTCAAATACTATATCATTTGTGATACATTACTTGTAGAAGCGTAAGCATGAAACAAGTATTTAGAATTAGAATAGAAAAAAATTTAGAAATTTGCATCTCAACTTGACTCTATCATTTGACCTAAATATTACTAATATTTTTGAAATAATCGAATTATTTACGAGATATGTTTATGAAACATTCAAGAGAAAAATTAAATGAAAGAAGAAATTCAAAAAAAAGTTTTTTCTTATTTTTACTTAGACATAAAATAAGTTCAAATGAAATTGGACTTGCTTCACAACTTCCTAATGCATGCAATGAAAGTGTAAGATCAAAAGAACAAACTTTCATTTCATTTGTATAAACTGAACCACTATAACCAGTACTTGCAGTCAAAACATCTCCAGTACAGTTTATAACTGTTATAATACCACCATTATATGCACTAAAAGTATTACTTGCTTTGTTTTTTAAGAAAATACATTCTGAAACAGTAACTTTTGAACAAAAAGAATGAATAAGACCTAAATAATAATTACTAGTTAAACATGAGTTGTTTCTGAATAAAGATTTTTTCACAAATGAATCAGGTGTAAAAAAATGATACATGCAAACATAATTTGATTCATAATTATCATTAGAAATGAAACAACAATAGTTAATATTAACTGGACTATTTAGAAAATAATAACCAGCATAGTCCCTACATCTTGTTTTAGTGTTGTTTGTAGAAATTAGACTTTGTAATCCGTAGTTATGATATATACTGGCACGTCCAGTGTAATCATGACCGCATTGATAGAGAGAAGTTAAATTTACAACATTTTTGTTTGTATTTGTTTTAACATATGTGTATGAATGTTTTCCATAGTCTTTTGTGTAGCATTTAAATGAACAGAATCGGTCTTGAACAATAGAACTAGAACATGAGAAGTAGATGCAGCCACCGTTGCTTGATGGGCGATTAATATTACTGTATGTGCAGATAGAATGAAGTAATTTGATAGAATCCTTTTCGCAATTAATAACATTGTCAGAAAAATCTTTGAAATCGGAAGAAAGTAAGAAAAAGTTTGAAGAAATAGTTGGTTTTTTGTTATCTGTGATATCAGTATAGTCTTGTGTTGGCTGGCCAAAGTATTCTTCCCATATGTCATTTGGAACTCCAGCCTCATTGAAAGCTAGAGTTGAGCAAAGATTTTGGAGAAAAAAATAATAAAAAAAATAGAGGAACTTCCCTTTTTTGTACATCGTTCTAGAGTTGAAATATCCTCCGAGAATGGTTTTCATAACTCTCACATACATACGTATAGGGATGCGACGGTTTTACGCCATGACCGTTTAAAAATAGAATAATACGCCATTTTTGGGGCCGAATGGCGGGTACGAAGTAGCCGCCATTCTGCCGAATAACAAAACAATACAAAATTATCGCCGTCCTTTTTTTTTCTTTCTTTCTTTCTTTTTTTTCCTCTCTCTCTTTCTTTTCTCTTTCCTCTTTTTACTCCTCTTTCTCTTTTCATCATTAAACGTAGAAAGATATATTAATATTATTTTAAAATTAAAAAAAAAGAAAGAAAGTATAATAAGTAATTATTTAGTTATCGATATATATATGTAAAGTGATAATCTGAGGATAATCTGAGGAGGAGTCTGAGGAGTAGACCGAGGAGTAGTTTGAGGAGTTTGATGATAATCTGAGGAGTTTGAGGAGTAGTCTGAGGAGTAGTTTGAGGAGTAGTCTGAGGAGTTTGAGGATAATCTGAGGAGTTTGAGGATAATCTGAGGAGTTGTCTGAGGAGTAGTTTCAGGAGTTATCTGAGGATAATTTGAGGAGTTTGAGGAGTAGTCTGAGGAGTTTGAGGATAATCTGAGGAGTTTGAGGAGTAGTCTGAGGATAATCTGAGGAGTTTGAGGATAATCTGAGGAGTTTGAGGATAATCTGAGGAGTTTGAGGATAATCTGAGGAGGAGTCTGAGGATTAGACTGAGGAGTAGTTTGAGGAGTAGTTTGAGGAGTAGTCTGAGGGGTTTGAGGATAATCTGAAGAGGAGTCTGAAGATTAGACTGAGGAGTTTGAGGAGTAGTCTGAGGATAATCTGAGGAGTTTGAGGATAATCTGAGCATAATCTGAGGAGGAGTCTGAGGATTAGACCGAGGAGTAGTTTGAGGAGTAGTCTGAGGATAATCTGAGGAGGAGTCTGAGGATTAGACTGAGGAGTAGTTTGAGGATAATCTGAGGAGTAGTTTCAGGAGTAGTCTGAGGACTAGTCTCAGGACTAGTCTGATGAGGAGGACTCTAAGGAGTAGTCTGAAGAGTAGTCTCAGGAGGAAGATCTGAGGAGGAGTCTTATGAGGAAGATCTGAGGAGTAGTCTGATGAGGAGGGGTCTAAGGAGTAGTCTGAGGATGATGAGTAATCTGATAAGGAGTAGTCTGAGGATGATCTGAGGATAACCTGATGACTAGTCTAGGAGTGGTCTAATAAAAATGTAAAATATTTTCAAAGAAAAAATTCTATGAATTTTATATTTTAATTCTTAGCATTATACTGAATAAAATAAACATAAATATCAAAATTTGAAATTGAAGACGCCAAAAAATTGATAATCCACATTCAATATTTTGTAAGTGGCGTACTTTTTGAATACTCGCCATACGCCTTGGAGTTCTCAATTTTGAATTCGCCTTTATTTGGGCGACCTCAGAAAAATACGCCATTAAGAAAATATTGTATGAGATTTTAAATTTGAACACGCTCTACCTTAAGGAATTAAATTTATTAAGATATATTTATATATAATAAACGATTACTTAAAAAAGTATTTCATCGCTTATGTAAGTTTCAAAAAAATCACGAAAATAAAAAAATCAAGATTAAAATTTTATTTTTAATTTTTGAATTTCTCAAATGGCGAAATTTTTGGGCGAACAAAAAAAATGTACGCCCGGTCAAATGGCGTGTTTAACGCATCCCTACATACGTATATCTGAGGAAAAGATAGTCGAGCAAAAATTACGCTAATATTCCAAGGAAATAAAAATTAATCGATTAAGAATGCCAATTATCAAACTTCAAATCCGCAAAATATGTTCACATTTCAAACATCGTCACACATACTTCTTATTAACTTTAACTACGTTTCTCAGCAACAAATAACTTTTCGAATTCTATGTGATTATGAATCAAATCGATACTAAAAGCTCTTTCCACTGCGAAATTAATGACCAGAGCGATGTTTTGTCTAATATTCAAATTCAGTAGAAAGCGGACAAAAAGAAACTACTCAACACAAATGGATAAACTCACAGAAGTTTGTTTATCTCACCGTAGTTGATATTGTTATTACGCTTTCTTTAAATTTCTGATTTTAATATTTATCATTTAATTATTACATTCTCTTTTTTTCAATTTTATCATTTGTTTAATTAGTTCCCTGTCTTTTCAATTTTATCATTGGTTTAATTTATTTTCCTTCTTTTCATATTTATCATTGATCTATGACATTTTCTTTCTTTTCATATTTATCATTTATTTATGACATTTTATTTCATTTCATATTTATCATTTATCTATCTCATTCTCTTTCTTATCATATTTATCATTAATTTATGAAATTTTCATTCTTTTTATATTCATCATTGTTTGATATAATTTTAATTCATTTCATATCTACCATTGTTTTATAACATTCTCTCTATATTAGTGAATGCCTCCTTAGTATTGCAATCGAAAAGAATTTAATTGAAATTGTCAAATTCTTAGTTGAACATGGCGCTGATGTTAACATGAAACTTATTCTTTTTCTTTTCATATTCATAATTGTCTTACAAATTTCTATTTCTTTTCATATTTATCATTGTTTTATTACATTTTCTTTCTTTTCATATTTATCATTGTTTTATGAAATTCTCTTTCTTTTCATATTTATCATTGTTTTATGAAATTTTCTTTCTTTTCATATTTATCATTGTTTTATGAAATTCTCTTTCTCTTCATATTTATCATTGTTTTATGAAATTCTTTCGATATTAATAAATGCCCCCTTAGTATTGCAATCGAAAAGAATTCAATTGAAATTGTCAAATTCTTAGTTGAACATGGCGCTGTTAACAAGGAACAGATTCTCTTTCTTTTCGCATTTATCAATATCTTTTAAAATTATCTTTATTTTCAAGTTTAGCATTACTTTATTAAATTTTCATTCTTTTCATATTTATTATTGTTTTATAACGTTCTCTCTAACTTAATTAATGCCCTCTTTAGTTAAGCGCATTTATAAGATTATCTAATATTTTTTTCCAATCGCGTGATTCTATCACGCATTATTTTATAATAAACATTCCATAATTTAATATTTTACTTTATTATCACACTCAAATTTGAATCATCTTTCAATTATTTCGAAAATAATATAATCTTATTATTGGATGTTGAATTATTTGCGGATATTCCTTCAAATTCAATTTGTGTATGATTTGGGCATTTAAAAATCTGCCCGCGAAAAGGAGTTAAAAATGTGTGGATTTCTGTTTTTTGCATTTTAACATGTGAGTATAAACAAATAAGGATACAAATGGACAAGTGAAAGTTTTATTGAACGTGCAGTCATGTGATATATTAACGAGTGTTTTTTACATGCATCAAGAGATCCATTGGATCTCTTGTATAGCAAATACTAATAAAGGTCGAAGTTGAAAATGAATTCGAAACATATCCAGAGATATCATTTGCCGGCATAGATATCTTAGAGAGCACCTACACTTGGCATTCAAACTCCCATTCATTCGGGTTATTTTAGAGTGAAAAAGAGTAAAAAAGACGATCAAAACACTCTCAATTTCCCACTTTTTAACTTTTTTTTCCCATTCTAGAATGATCCATTCATTCCATAATTTTATTAACATTTCTCATTTTTTAAACAGACACAAATTTTTGAAGCTGGTATTATTTTACTTCATTCTTCAATTCAAATTTTCTAACTTGATTTGTGGGTAAATTTAGAAATTTCAATTTGCAAATTGAAAATTCAAATATTCTTTATTCATTATGTCGATAATTTTACAAATAATCTTTGATAAATTTAAAAATTAAAGTAAAATTATTAAATTGAATACAATAAATGAAGAGATTCATTTTTTACAACCTCATGAAGAGTATTTAAAATGAGAAGTCCCACTGTTTCTTCACTATTATATTGTCCTACAGCATGAATAACTATTTTTTTCAAAATTCAAGAAGAATCTGAACTTTCGATTGCAACATTAATAAGAAATTCTGCTGTTTCTTGATGGTTTGAGATTAATGACAATTCAAGAGCTGTGCGATTTTCAATATCTGTCGAACTGACATCTGCGCCATGCATAATAAGAAATTCTACCATGTCTTTGTAATTATTTAATGCGGCATAATGAAGTGGAGTACGCCCCTTGTGATCTTTTTCATTAATATTTGCTTGATACACAATCAGAAGTTGGGCTATATCGATTCTATTATTATAAACTGCAAGATGAAGAGCTGTTCTTCCAGTATCATCTTTTGCATTGATATTGGCATTTGTTCGAAGAATTATTATTGTTTCTCTATGTTGATTCATTACAGCAATATGAAGAGCTGTTTGGCCGTTTATATTTTTAATGTTGATGTCGGCATTATTTGAAATCAGAAGATCTACAACTTCATTGTTATTATTTTGAACTGCATGATGAAGTGCCGTATATCCATTGTTGTCTTTCAAATTTATATCGATGGCTTCAGCTTTAATAAGAAGTATTGCTATTTCTTTCAAATTTTTTGATTGCATATTGAATAGCTGTTAGACCAGAACTATCTTTCGCATTGACATCTGCATTATTTAATATAAGCAATTCTGAAACTTCATATTTTTCATTTTGTACAGCCAAATGAAGTGCTGTTTGTCCAAAGTTATTTTTTGCATTGATATTGACATTATTTGAAATAAGGATTTCTGCTGTTTCTTTACTATTATTTTTTGCTGCTTCATGAAGAGGAGTTTGTCCAAAGTTATCTTTTGCATTGATATTGACATTATTTGAAATAAGGATTTCTGCTGATTCTTTACAATTTCGAATTGCAGCATAGTGAAGTGGAGTACTTCCAATTTCATCTTTTGCTTCGATATTGGCGTGTTTTGAAATAAACAATTCAACAGTATCTTTGCAATTAAAATATGCAGCACAGTGAAGTGGACTTCTTCCATTTGCGTCTTTTGCTTCGATATCGACATGATAATTAATGATAAACTCTGCTATTTCTTTACTATTATTCCGTGCAGCAGCATGAAGAACGGTTTCTTCATTTTTATCTTTTGCTTTAATATCAGCTCCTGCTGAAATTAGTAGTTCTGCTGTTTCTTTACTGTTTCCAATGGCTGCATAATGAAGAGCAGTTCTTCCCAAATTAGTTTTATCTTTATCAACATTTTTGATGTGCGAAATAAGAAGTGCTGCAGTTTCAATACAATTATTTACTGCTGCGAAATGAAGTGGAGTGCAACCATTATTATCCTTTATATGTATATCTGCACCACTTTTGACAAGTAGGCGCGTGGCATTTAAAGCATTATAATTTGCTGTATAGTGAAGAGCTGTCCACCCATTTTCATTTTTTTCATTGATATTTGCACCATGCGAAAGAAGAAGTTGAACAATATCAATAAAATCTCCCCATGCTGCAAAATGGAGAGCAGTATTTCCTTTGAATCCAATTGCATGTTGATTGATGTTTGGATGTTTTAATAAGAAATATTGACAAAGAGGTAAATAATGGAAACATGTTGAATACGGAAAACATGCATTGAGATTTTTTGTTTCATTATAATACATGCAGTATGCTTGAACATTTTCATGTCCGATACAAGATTCTAAATGAATTTCAATGTGGTATTCATTTACTAAATGCATAATAAAGTCTGGGTTTCGTGAAATAATTGCATATTCCATACTTCGATTATCCGGTTTGAAATTCTTTAAACATTCATTAATTATCTCTATATTTCCACCTAAATAAGAAAATGCAAGACAATAACTGGTGATGTTTTCTGATTTGAATTCTGTTCTCAAAAATTTGAAACAATTAACCGCACCATGATAACAACATAACTCAAGATATGAATACCCACCTTCATTCTCTGGGTAAAAATCGCTTTTAAGCTTATGGTCAATATTAAATTCTTCTTCTTGTGTGCGAGAAATAAATGATCGTATGTCATCATCCATAATTGCACGATAAATTGTATGTGGTACATGAATATCAATTGAAATATTTTGTTTTTCATATTCAATAAATTTTATTGGATGATGTCCACTTAAAGTAAACTTGAATTCCTTGTAAAAAAAGTAATCAAAAATATCTGAAATATGCGTAACTCTTTTGGGACGATATTCTTGATAAATTTTAAAGAACAATGACCAACAAGATCTAATGTAACGATTTTGATAGACAAACTCATTAGAAATCCTTTGCATGATCTCAACTGGCGAAATTCTCAGTATTCCAAAGCATCGTACTTTGATAAATTCGAAAATTTTGTTGATTTCATCATCATCAAGTGTTTGAATCTTGTATATTGCATCGTAAGCAGCAAAGAAATCATTTGAAATCTTCATCAGCTCTCTAAATGCATGCTGGTCATCCTGAGGTTCCATATTCAACAATTATGACAATTTTTGAAGAAAAAATAAAATTGAATTAGAAATCCCATTCATTATTCAATTATTTTTGAAAGTGTTTCCAAAATCTTTGAGAATAATTACATAATAAAACAATGCCAATCATTTTTCTTAAAGAGCATTCTGAAGTTTCCATTATGAGATAAAAAATGTAAATAGCTCCTTACATGGAAGGAATACATGAAGGGTTACATTTTGCTTAGATCAAGATCACAAATAATTAATAATAATTTTTATTTTCAAAAAGGTACTTTTAATCGGCCAAAAATTGAAAACGAATATATTTACAGTTTTTTCAATGAGCCGCCTCAAAAATTGAATTACATCCAATTTAATTGAGGCTAAAAATTGAAAATTCTAAAAGTATTTCATCATATGACGGAAATAAAATAAAAATATTTACATATTTAGTCATACTATTTAGAAAGCCTCGCAATATAATACAAATAAAATGAAGATTGAAAAAAAAAATTATATCTTATGATGACCTTTTTGGGAGTAACTTTTTCAGTGAATCGTTGAACGCCATTCATTCTCATATCATGTCCTCTCAACATCCAATATATTGTACTTTTTATTGCCATAAATACTTCATTCATTGGATATAGATACTTAAAGATAATCGAATCAAAATGCGATATGTAAATGATATATTAAGGATGTATCAATCTACTCAATGTGTAATTTCTAAAATCAACGCATAAATAATGCAAAAACATGATATTTCAATATAAAAATCATATTTTGAGTTTTGTTTTATTTGACTTCGAGATATTTTCACAGACAAAATGTTTAGAAGTCATGTTTAATGAAAAATAAGAACAATTTAGTTTATATTGCCAATTAAAACACTGGAATCAGAAGTAAATTGACAAATATTTGTATATTACTTCATTCTCAACACATATATACTCACTTCGTATTTTGATCTTTTCAACAATTTATAGATAAATCACAGATAGCAAAAAACTGTTCTTTGAAATTATAATGAAAAATACAATTTATATTAAAAAAATAAAAAGATAATAAATATAAAATACAATTATTGTATTGAATGCATATGTTTTCGATAGTAAATCTCCAGTGAAATTACAATGAAATGATTCGCTACATTCAATAAAATAGATTACTCTATTTCAGAATTCTGCATTTGTCACTTTTGACTGTAATTTTCCAATTTTCTATAACAATGAAATTTATCTGTTATCATTAATCATATTTTCTGAATTTGAACTTTTCAATAATTTATAGATAAATCACAGATAACAAAAACCATTCTTTGTAATTATAATGAAAAATACAATTTATATGAAATAAAATAAAAAAGATATACATGAAATATAAATAAATATAATAATATCTAAACAAATAAAGAAAAAGCAGAAAATGGGATGATATTCAACGCCCCATGAGCGCTGAAAGTGTAAAAACTCTTGTTAGAAAGCCAAATGCAGCACGATTGGATGCAAATATCATTCTGGAAATTGAATATTCGGCATTCAATCTCTGATTTATTGATGTTGAATGGGAAATATGCCAATGAATTGTTTCCGAATGCACCAAAAACATCGGCGTCAAAAATTTTCTCACTGGTTTTTCGTCTATCAATCCCAGCTCATTATATACGCAACCAATCAAAAATCTGATATGGGAGTCCAAGGCTAACTTTTTGTTGTCTACCTAATAAAAGAGGAAGCAGCATTAGTGAGAATAATCGCAAATATTCAATTTAAATTATCTTTTTATTCTTAATTTAAAGTGACAAAAAGAATAAAAAACCTATTCTAAGGCATGTTGTTATGTAAATGAGACTAGACATCATATTTTATGTTATGAAAAAAAAATATTTAGAATTTTAGAACAAAATAAATAGAAAAAATAGCATAACTTATGGATGTGCGTATATTAAATTTAATAAATTAAGAGAAATTATTTTTGGCGCCACAATTATTCGTTAACTCTCAAATTTTTCTGAGTCAATAAGCCGCCAAAAAAGTGTCATTTTGTTTCGTTAGAGAAAGATGAATTGTCCATATCATCCAATCGGGAACAAGGGGGATGGGGATTAGATGATAAAGAAGCAATTCATGCTCTCTATATGAAGCAATCAGACTTACCAGCAACAATGTGAATCAGTCTTTCACTGAATGAGTAGGTGTTGGAAGAACTGTTCTCTAAAGCGATACAGTTGCGCTACATGTTCGTCAACTTGTCTAGAAATAAATATATCATTTGTTTTATACGTTTTTTCGTAATAAATCTATTTGTATTTGTTGTATTTGAGTATGAAGATAACAAAAACTACGGCATAAGACGCAGTACACTGGGCTTCGTTGCCATTTTATTTACCATGTTAAGAATAAACTTAACAGACATGCTTTGTTTTCGACGAAGCCATCTAAAATAACGTACATCTAAATAAAACTAAAAAACTGTAAAATTTCTTTATTTGATAGTATACTTCAAATTATGCACTATACCTTCTAGAATTCTATAACACTCTTTGCATATAATTTTTAAAAAAAAAGTTATATCTCGACAAAAATATGATTTATCAATAGAGTATGTAAAATAAAACTCATTCGCAGTATTAAAAAATCGTAAATCTTTCCAAAAAAAATTTGAATTACAAATTTTAAAACTTAAAACAACATTTTTTGAAGCGAAAAAACGAAATCTAATTTTTTTTGGAAAATTTAGAATAAATAGAGCTCTTTAACTCGTCGAATACAAATTGTTTTCAAGTTTTTTTCGACCGGAAATTGAACTTTTAGAGTTTATACAATAAGATTCACATGAAAAAATACGGGTTTAACAAAGAAATCACCAATATAAAGGTTTTTTAGTAGAACGAGATTGATAAAAACTATGGTATGATAAAAAGACGATAATTTTTTGGCGGGATAATTGAAGAATATGAATGATTCGAATTACAGACATACTCTAGTCCGAAACTTACTATGGTTCGTGACTTATTTTTGACACAGAATAGCTGTAGACTAAGGCTTACTCTAGATCCAGACTTATTATACAATTAAATTTGCTTTTGGAATAAGACTTAATTTTAGTTACAAACTTATCTTAATATCAGACTTATATTTAGAATCAGACTTACTTTAGTCTAGAACTTACATTTAGAATCAGACTTCCATTTCAAGTCAGACTTACTTTCGTCCGAGACTTACATTTCAAGTCAGACTTACATTTCAAGTCAGACTTACTTTCGTCCGAGACTTGCATTTCAAGTCAGACTTGCTTTCGTCCGAGACTGACATTTCAAGTCAGACTTACATTTCAAGTCAGACTTACTTTCGTCCGAGACTTGCATTTCAAGTCAGACTTGCTTTCGTCCGAGACTGACATTTCAAGTCAGACTTACATTTCAAGTCAGACTTACTTTCGTCCGAGACTGACATTTCAAGTCAGACTTACATTTCAAGTCAGACTTACTTTCGTCCGAAACTTACATTTCAAGTCAGACTTACTTTCGTCCGAAACTTACATTTCAAGTCAGACTTACTTTCGTCCGAGACTTACATTTCAAGTCAGACTTACTTTCGTCCGAGACTTACATTTCAAGTCAGACTTACTTTCGTCCGAGACTTACATTTCAAGTCAGACTTACTTTCGTCCGAGATTTACATTTCAAGTCAGACTTACATTTCAAGTCAGACTTACTTTCGTCCGAGACTTACATTTCAAGTCAGACTTGCTTTCGTCCGAGACTGACATTAGTTAGTATCCCTAAGTGGTGTACTGTGGCACTGCGCGCCTCCGTACACGACTTAGTGGTTTTGACACTTTACGAAACCGTTAACGTATATTTTACAATACAACCATAACACCAACTTAACCTTAAATATTTACAAAACCATCTGACACATAAACGACTTCACCAACGACTTCACTAATGATTTCACTAACGACTTCACTAACGAATTCACTACCATCCTCACTAAATAAAAAATAACCTTATTTTATTTATTTTCCAACTTTTTTATTTCATTACAAAGACATGTCTGACTACATTTACTATGACTCTTTCCCAGAACGTTTCCGTGAACTATTCAAAACTCAAGTAAAACTGAGAAACATGCATTTTAACAAAGACAGACCCATTGACGATGAAAGAAACCCTGAATATATTACAATCCCTTATGACGCAAAGTTCATTGCATACATTCCTTATGGTCGCAGAGGAACGAAAACTATTTCAACAAAGAACAAAAATTATTTCTGGAGCGATGAAGAAAATTGCCTTATCTACATAAATGCATATTTAAATAAAGCTACATATTGTACAAAAGAAGGTTGGACTGGATTTGAGCTCTACATATACGACGACGATGGAAACAGACGTTGTGTATACCCATACGATAATATGTACCATTGTTTTCATCAAGCATTAAACGAATACATAGTCAGTAAGGGTCTCATTCCTGCTGAGTAGAAATGTTATATTTTTGTTCTGTCATTTATATAAAAATTAATGATATCACCACCCTCACACGTATGAAAACATAGCCCAAAAATATATTTAGGGTAGAAGGGTAGATCTAACCTCATTTCTACCCTCATTTCTAACCTTGTTGAATTCATTGCTTTATAACTCTCTTCCTTTCTCCAACTCTTCTAGCTTCTTCTTAAGTTCAGCAATGTTGTCCTCATGAAGTTTAATCTTTCTCAAAATTCCTTCTCTATCTAATGGTTGCTTTATCTTTCTAAACTGAACTCTACCATCTTTCATAGTATGAATGTAAAAACCTTCTGGAATAGTTCCTGATTTAATGTATTCTACCAAAAACTTTTGTTTCATTGCTTCAGTGACTTTAGTCGTCATTTCAATCAAAGGTGAAGCTAGCACAGCGATAATGGATTTCATGACTTTTAGTATTTCATGCAATCTTAACAGATAGCCTTATAAGTACTTCCAGTATCGCTAGCTGTCCCTCCTTTTTATATAACTCCATGACATTTATAATCTCGCGAAACTTAACAGGTAGCATAACAGATTAAAATCAGATGAGGTTTTGAACCAAAATTTCTAAGCAACGTTGTCAAGGATTTTGAGGAACTAGGGACAGAGTGTGGCAAAGTCCAAGATTTAATTTATCTTCATCTGTTTCATCAGCTATCTCATCTAATATGCCAATATTTTATTCATAACTCGTGGCAAACTCACTAACTTTCATTATGTTCATCTGCATGCTTCATCTGATAGAAAGTATGACTTTCATTAACTCTGTGAGATAATGAAAACTACTAGGGACAGAGACCATGGCAAAGTTTATGACTTTCATTATTTCCAGAACTTAATGAAAACTACTAGGGACAGAGACCATGGCAAAGTTTATGACTTTCATTATTTCCAGAACTTAATGAAAACTACTAGGGACAGAGACCATGGCAAAGTTTATGACTTTCATTATTTCCAGAACTTAATGAAAACTACTAGGGACAGAGACCATGGCAAAGTTCATGATTTAATTTATTCTCTCACTGTTCTCATGAACGACCTCCTTATTGCATGTATGACCTCCTCACTGTCTTTCATGAACTATTTCATTATTGTTCTCATGTATGACCTCCTTATTGCATGTATGACCTCCTTATTACATGTATGACCTCCTTATTGCATGAACGACCTCCTTATTGCATGAACTATTTCATTATTGCATGTATGACCTCCTTATTGCATGTATGACCTCCTTATTGCATGAACTATTTCATTATTGCATGTATGACCTCCTCACTGTCTTTCATAAGCGTTTCAAAGTCTCCTTTACTCATTACTTCAATCTCATGCTGTTCACAGTAGTACTTAACTTCATCAAACTTCATCAGGAATGATTTGTGAAAACTTTATCGTCAAACTTTATCGTCAAACTTCATCGGGAATGATTTGTGAAAACTTTATCGTCAAACTTCATCGTCAGACATGAACGTCAGACATGAACGTCAAACTTTATCGTCAAACTTCATCGTCAGACATGAACGTCAGACATGAACGTTAAAACACTTTATCAAACTTTATCGTCAAACTTCATCGTCAGACATGAACGTTAAAACACTTTATCAAACTTTATCATCAAACTTCATCGTCAAACTTCATCAAACTTCATCAGGAATGATTTGTGAAAACTTTATCGTCAAACTTTATCGTCAAACTTCATCGGGAATGATTTGTGAAACTTTGTGAAAACTTCATCAAACTTCATCGGGAATGATTTGTGAAAACTTTATCGTCAAACTTCATCGTCAGACATGAACGTCAGACATGAACGTCAAACTTTATCGTCAAACTTCATCGTCAGACATGAACGTCAGACATGAACGTTAAAACACTTTATCAAACTTTATCGTCAAACTTCATCGTCAGACATGAACGTTAAAACACTTTATCAAACTTTATCATCAAACTTCATCGTCAAACTTTATCGTCAAACTTCATCGTCAGACATGAACGTTAAAACACTTTATCAAACTTTATCATCAAACTTCATCAAACTTTATCGGGAATGATTTGTGAAAACTTTATCGTCAAACTTCATCGTCAAACTTTATCAGACATGAACGTCAGACATGAACGTCAGACATGAACGTTAAAACACTTTATCAAACTTCATCGTCAAACATGAACGTCAGACATGAACGTTAAAACACTTTATCAAACTTTGTGAAAACTTCATCGTCAGACATGAACGTCAGACATGAACGTTAAAACACTTTATCAAACTTTATCGTCAGACATGAACGTATATGCTTTGTCAAGACTTCTTCATCGTACATGTTTTGTCATGACTTCTTCATCGTAATGAGCGTAAATGAATGTGTCGAAACTTCTTCAAACTTCATCAAACTTCATCAAACTTCATCGTAATGAACGTAAATGATCCAAAAATAATGTTTACGTTAATGTTTGACAACAACACAGTAGAGGAAGGCAATTATGACTTATTTTTGAAGAACTGAAGGTGTCACCATGTCACCAGGTCATTTAACTTCTCTGAAAAAGTGTGACAACATGACATTTGACAACACAGTAGAGGAAGGCAATTATGAACGTAAATGAATGTGTCGAAACTTCATCATAAATGATTTGTCAAGACTTCTTCATCGGAATGAGTGTAAATGATTTGTCATGATGATTTCATCGTATATCCTTTGTCAAACATGAGTGTAAATGAATTTTCATGATTTCATCGTAATGAGTGTAAATGAATGTGTCGAAACTTCATCATAAATGTTTTGTCATGACTTCTTCATCGTAATGAGCGTAAATGAATGTGTCAATACTTCATCGTATATCCTTCATCATAATGAGTGTAAATGATTTGTCAAACATGAGTGTAAATGATTTGTCATGATGATTTCATCGTTAATGTTTTGTCAAACATGAGTGTAAATGATGTGTCGAAACTTCTTCATCGTAATGAGTGTAAATGAATGTGTCGAAACTTCATCGTATATCCTTTGTCAAACATGAGTGTAAATGAATGTGTCGAAACTTCATCGTATATCCTTTATCAATACTTCATCGTTAATGTTTTGTCAAACATGATTTATCAATACTTCATCGTAAATGTTTTGTCATGATTTCATCGTTAATGTTTTGTCATGATTTCATCATCGTAATGAGTGTAAATGATCCAAAAATAATGTTTATGTTAGAATGTTAGATCTAACACCTTTTCTAACATGTTTTCTAACATGACCTCATCGTAAATGTTTTGTTATGACCTCATGGAACTTAAACGTAAATGTTTTGTTATGACCTCATGGAACTTAAACGTAAATGTTTTGTCATGACTTCTTCATCGTATATGCTTTGTCAAGGTTTCTTCGTATATGTTTTGTCATGATTTCATCGTTAATGTTTTGTCATGACCTCATCGTAAATGTTTTGTTATGACCTCATGGAACTTAAACATAAATGTTTTGTTATGACCTCATGGAACTTAAACGTAAATGTTTTGTCATGACCTCATCGTAAATGTTTTGTTATGACCTCATCGTATATGTTTTGTCATGACCTCATCGTATATGTTTTGTCATGACCTCATCGTAAATGTTTGTGAAGAATATAGCAATCGCCGGAATTCAGACGGTTGCTTTTTATACAAATTCACACAGGAAAATTCTTGAGTTTTGGTTGAAAGAATACGGTCGAGCCAAAAGTGGCTCAACCTCAAAACAAGCATTTATGAGCTTACTAAGGAAATTTATGAATGAATTCAAAGTATTTGCATACATCCTGACCTCGTTCATTTTGTTGCTGAATTCAGCAAAAATAATGTTTACGTTAATGTTTTCACTGTTACCATGTTACCATGTTACCATGTGCTACCAGGTTAATTAACTTCTCTTAAAATTACTGACAACATGACATTTAGACAACAGTCCAGGAAATAAACTTCATCGTATATGCTTTGTCATGACTTCTTCGTATATGTTTTGTCATGACTTCTTCGTATATGTTTTGTCATGATTTTCATCGTAATGAACGTATATGTTTTGTCAAACATGAACGTAAATGTTTTGTCATGACTTCATCGTAAATGTTTGCCATGACTTCATCGTAAATGTTTTGTCAAGACTTCATCGTATATGTTTTGTCATGACTTCTTCGTATATGTTTTGTCAAAACATGAACGTAAATGTTTTGTCATGATTTCTTCATCGTAAATGTTTTGTCATGATTTCTTCATCGTAAATTTTGTCATGACTTCTTCGTATATGTTTTGTCATGACTTCATCGTATATGTTTTGTCATGACTTCATCGTATATGTTTTGTCATGACTTCATCGTATATGTTTTGTCATGATTTCTTCGTAAATGATTTGTCAAGACTTCTTCGTATATGTTTTGTCAAACATGAACGTATATGTTTGTCAAGATTTCATCGTAATGAACGTATATGTTTTGTCAAGATTCATCGTAATGAACGTATATGCTTTGTCATGACTTCATCGTAAATGATTTGTTATGACCTCATGGAACTTCATCGTAAATGTTTTGTCATGACTTCATCGTATATGTTTTGTCATGACTTCATCGTATATGTTTTGTCATGACTTCATCGTAAATGTTTTGTCAAACAGAACGTATATGTTTTGTCAAAACTTCTTCGTATATGTTTGTTATGACTTCTTCATCGTAACGAGTGTAAATGATTTCATATGATTGTTTCCCTCGAAAAAACGAGAGAAGAGATTCCATATGAAAATCGCAAGAATTTGACTCCTGGTTTGAAATATTATTATGTCATAGACTTCATCGTAATGAGTGTAAATGATTTCATATAATTGCTTACCTCGGAAAACCGAGGGAAGAGATTCCATATGAAAATCGCAAGAATTTGGCTCCTGGTTTGAAATATTATTATGTTCATAGATTTCATCGTACATGTTTTGTCAAACATGAACGTATATGTTTTGTCAAACTTCATCGTAAATGATTTGTCGTGACTTCATCGTATATGCTTTGTCATGATGATTTCATCGAAACTAAACGTATATGTTTTGTCGTGATTTTATCGTAAATGTTTTGTCATGATTTTATCGTAAATGTTTGTCATGACTTCTTCATCGTACATGTTTTGTCATGACTTCTTCATCGTAAATGATTTGTCATGATTTCTTCATCGTAATGAGTGTAAATGTTTTGTCAAACATGAGCGTAAATGATTTGTCATGATTTCTTCATCGTAAATGATTTGTCATGACTTCTTCATCGTAATGAGTGTAAATGTTTTGTCAAACATGAACGTAAATGCTTTTGTCATGATTTCTTCATCGTAATGAGTGTAAATCAGACAAAAATATATTTTAGGTGAAGAGGTGAGATCTCACCTCTTTTCTCACCTCTTTTCTCACCTCATG